GTCTTTGCTAACACAGAGATAACTGAGACAGTCAGATTCCTTGCTGTGTTCCAGAAGAGCAGATTTGTGGGTAAGCTGTCATTTAAAAAAAATGCTCTTTGTTGCACTGTATTTCTATTTGACTTTCACAAAATCTGCCTCTATTGATATAAACGTGTTGCAGTTTTCTTTCTGGCATGGTGAGGGATATCTATAAGTTATGATGTCTTTTCTTTTTAAACTAATGTTGTGGTGTGGAAAGAGACTTGTTTCTGTGTTATACAAGAACAGTTGCTAGCCCTAGATCAAAAGCTAACAGAAAAACACGACATATGACTTCAGTAGGGCTTCATTACCCAAGAAACGTCCTACAGAGGCTAACGTCCTTTTCCTTTGAGTTATTTTTACCTCATCTGGAAAGTATCCCCAGTGAGATTGTGGATCCTGTAGGCTGCCTTACAAGAATCGGAAGGAGAAGACCTCAATGAGAAAATGAGCGGTCTTTGGGGGGACCATAGTTTCTACATCAGGCAGGTAAAGACCACTGTGAAGAGTGAAGTGCTACAAACTGTGAAGGTGTGCTAGCTGAGCTAGCTTCTCTTTTATTGTTACATGACAGTCTCTGAGGTCAGAAGACCAATGCATTGCAAATACTTAGAAGCTGAAGCTTCAACATATGAAACAGGCATTTAATTGGCTTGAGTTAGTTTTGTTTATATTTCTAGGAGTAAACAGTTCATCCAAATTCATGTGTGATCCGCTCTGTAAATGAGCGGTCTGTGAAAGAGAATAACTTCCACCCATTCAATTTTCCTGTGCCTTAATCCTAACCTATTATACAGAATTCAGATAAATTTGACCTTGAATTGTAAGAATAATCTTACATGTCTTTGGATCCTTTCAAGGGGCTGCTCCTTGAGGGAGACTCTGTTAGCATGGCTTTTGAGGCCAAAAGTAACATAAAAGGAGGATTGTCTTGATATTCAAAAAATAGGTTTGGAGCAGGAACGAACATACCAGTTCTCTCAGTATGTGGTCTTGTGGCCTTACTAAGCTGACCTACTAACTGACTGTCCCTGGAAAAAGGTGGTCCCACCATGTTGTCAGGCTGCCCCTTCACTACTCTTTCATGAAGTATTGCCTGCTGTACAATGTTTTATAGCTTAATCAGATCTGTAACCTGCATCAAAAGATTGGGAGATTTCATATGACGTTCAGCAAGTGAGAGCAAATGAATACCTTTCAGAAGAGAATTACAAAATTAAAAAGGAGACTTCATCAGTTTAAATAATATGAAATTTTGCTTTTATGAGGTTTTTAACACAGATCACTATAAAATTGGGGAGTATTTGTAATCAACAGAAAAGTTTGATCGGAGTGGCTTTTAGACAAGCTTCTTGTAGGGCTGCATAAATCGGTATAAACTGCATTAAACAATATAAATGGCATTTGCTCAACTGAATGATGTTGTAGTTGTTTCTCAGACAAATACGTTTTGCAAAATTATGTGTAGTTGTGGAGAGAAGCATGCAGTTCAACAAGAACACGATCTTAGACGTTAAGCCCTGTGAAATACTGACCTTTGCATCCTAAACGTGATTTCATTCTGACTTCAGATTGCACTTGTCTTCCTTATATTGCGCAATTGCTGATTTGTCGATGATTCCTATCGCACCACTATATAGAATTATGCCTTTGTTATACTAGATCTAGTATTTTGCTCACAGCTAGATGAGTGCTTGAGCAAACTAAGTGCTCAGTTCAAGTGGTTTTTCGTAGGTCACTATCATGTGAATTCATGCCTCTGCTGAAACTAGTGAACGTGAACTTATTAAAATTATATATAAAGTGCTTTTTTGAGGATTATTTTAAATTAAAATCTGCTATTCTGGGAGAGTGCTATTTGTAAAAGTCACAAATCACTTGAGGCCACGTGCAGGTGAAACTGTCTTTGTTACGTCTTTATTTATGACATACTGAACTAAGAATGGATGGAGACAAGCAGGAGCAGTTGACCTTTGATTCTGGTTTTACTATCTGCTATTTAAAGAGATTTCTCATAGTCTGAGAACTAATATAATTATGATATTTACAAATATAGAACTATTCATATAAATAATTGTCTCGTATATACGAGACACCTGTGGCAAAGTCTCTTCACTCCACTCACTTTTTTTTTATGGTAGCCCTTATGGTGGATGC